CAGGAGCGTATGTACACATGTGTGTGCATCTCTCTGTACACGCTGTAGCAGTTCCCCAGCGCAGGGAGCTTTGCAGAGCCTGTGAGTTGTCAGTCATATGACAGCCATCCCCTTGTGCTAATTGCCTGGGTCGGCAACGAGGAAGAACGGAGGCTCCTTCCCTTTAATGGATAGATTTTGTTGCCTTCTTTTTTTTCCCTTCCTTTACCCTTTTTGTATTTATTTTGTTTTTTCCACACTTGCTCAGTTCGGTCCCAGCAGCGGGATGTCAGGAGCTGCGGTGGCCGCTGACATTTCGGCGTTACCCGGGGCGGGGGGGCCGCGGCTCAGCGCCGTGACCAGAGCAGATACCTGCTGGCTTTTACGAAGAAGCCTTTCCGAGAAGGTTGAAATGCAACGTCTTACAACCTTCACGTGCCTGCTAATTGTATGCAATGCCCTTTTTTTTTTTGCTTTTTTTTCCCCCCTCTCCCTGCCCCCCTTTCCCCTTTGAAAGAGGCAGCTTCGCAGTACGTGATTGAAATGGAGCTAAGTAGTTCCCTTCAGGCATTTGGGCTTTTGGCGAACGGCCAGCTCTCCTTCCCAGTAGCCTTCAGAGGCATTTAAACTCGGAAAGAGCTTCACTCCGGTCCCCATTACTAATCTACCTAATGAGGAATTTAAATTAGCCGGGAATATGAAAGTTTAACAAGATCTTAATAAATGCTTTTTTACCTGTTTTCACGGAAAACCAATACACTATTGTGTTGGCCCTGCCGAAACCTTTTTGTTGTTGTTTTTAACATGCATTGCAACCCAGTTACCTAATTATAGATAAATATGTAAATATTGTGTGCAACAGTGGGTTTGTTTTCGAGTTTTTTCGTGGGCTTTTTTTCCCCCCTCCCTTATTTTTGCCCTTACTCCGAGCCTGGCCGGAACATGTGACCCAGTTTACTTGAGCGGTGCTGGGGGGAAGGAGGCTGCTCCCATGGCCGTTCAGCTCTTGGACAGATGGGAAGGGGCTGCGAGGGGAACGTGTGGCATTTGGGATCAAGTTTTGCTACCAGGCTTGGAAGAGAAGACCTTGCTAAAATAAGTAGAGTTTGCCATGGAAACTTGGTGTGTCCATTTTCTGAGCAAAGCTTCCGTATGGATCGTTTCCTATAGTGGAAAGAATAATCCCAAAACATCAGCTTGTTGCCATAACAGTTCATAGGGTTCTTTTTTTTTTTTTTCCCTTAAAAAGGCTAGAAAGTCAGCAGGGTGAACTGAAAACCACAGCTTCACCCACTTAGAGTGGTTTTGTTTTTTGTTTTGTTTCGTTTCATGGAGCAGAGGGGAATGTGGTTGGGGCGGGGGAATGTTGCATGTATATTTGAACAGAGTACTTTCTTGGCAGATGGTCAGGGTTTTAAAAGGAAGTCTCCTTTGGCATTGCGTGAAAGAAAGAGATGACTCACACAATTGCACTCTTGGCCAGTAGATAAAGTTCTTGTTCATTGTGGGACTCCCAGCAGGACCTCAGAGTAATTTCCCGTTTTGCATCCTATAGAACAGGACATTTCTATTCTGGAACTTTTTTTCTCCTCTCTCCTCTGTTGTTGAAGTGCCCTGTGTTCCTCCAAACACGCATGGGAGCAGTTTGAGTTATGTGGCGTGCATGCCAGTGCGCTTGGAAATTACATTCTTTGAAAGTCGAGTGTGCTGCGTTCTCATGCACAGGAAATGGGAGGATGTCTGCTGCTCCACTGATGTCCCCAGAAGACAGGCCGGCAGCTCCGCAGCCATGCTGAACTGTGGCTTTGTTTTCTGGCACAGCATTTGGGTTTTTAACTGCGTGTCAGAGCACATTGTGTTCAGTTGTGTCCCTTCAGCTTCGTGTTTGTGCGATAGAGATACAAAACAACTTGGAATTAGATGCGGTGCAAGAGCGAAGTGTAATTATTTGTTGTGGTTCTCCATGGCCCTTTTCAACGTCACCCTACTGAAAACACAGATTTTATGATGAGAGTGGTGATAATTTGACTGACTCATTAGAATGCTATTTTGGAAACCAAAGCTGACTTGCACCTTCAGCTGTGTGTTTGAACTCCTGCCCACGTCTCAAAAACTGATTTTCTTTTCATCCTAACAGTCACCTAGTTGTGGCTGGAGGAGCCTTTAATTTGTTTTGAACCTGGAAACCTCAAATCGAACATACAACATTCCTGCATGCTTTCTGAAGTGTAAAATACAATTGCGTTTATTTTTAAGCAAGCTTGTAACTTTTTTTTTCTTCCCTCTCTTTCACCTAGACATGTTTGGAGCTGGAACGGTATCTTCAAAGTGAACCCTGTTACGTTTCTGCATCTGAAATCAAATTTGATAGCCAAGAGGATCTCTGGACCAAAATTATTCTGGCACGTGAGAAAAAGGAGGAATCTGAACTGAAGAACACATGTGTCCCAAAAGAGGACAATCTTGCTAGTCAGAACTTAGAGACCAACAGTTTGAATTCTGACGTTAGCAGCGAATCTTCAGACAGCTCTGAGGAGCTCTCACCCACGACAAAGTTTACCTCTGACCCTATAAGCGATGTTCTAGCCAGTTCAGGAAACTTGAGTTCGTCTGTCACTTCCACTCCCCCTTCCTCTCCTGAGCTGAGCAAGGAGCCTTCTTCCCAGCTATGGAATTGTACGCCGGGTGAGTTGCATTCACCAGGGAAAATTCGTACTGGTACCGCTGGAAAGACTGCAGAAAAAGGTACACCCGCCAATGGTGACACCTCGCCAGATGGCAGAAGGCGTGTTCACAGGTGTCATTTTAACGGTTGCAGGAAAGTTTACACCAAAAGTTCACATCTGAAAGCACATCAGCGCACTCATACAGGTTAGTAACCGTATGCTTATTAAGAGTTGGCAAGTCCTGCAGGGAATACCCCTGACAGTGGTGGTGTCGGAGCGTTACACAATCACTGGGTGGGAGCCCAGGTTTGGAGAGATGGTGTAACAGTAGTGGAGGCTTACCCGCATGGACGACATCACTTCCTCATTCTCCTCGTAAGCAAGCCAAAGCCAAGGCAGTTGGTGGTAGATTAGTGTGCTGTCATAGCACATGGGAGCCACTCGTCTAAGTGGGAAGCCTCAGCCATGTGCAGTCTTCAGGAGCAAAGGGCTGGTCAAAATGGACTCTAAACATTTCTTGATGTTTATTTCTAAAGCAAAAACTATCTGAGACTTTCTTGAGGGGGAAAAAAAATAAAATAAAGGAACATTGTGCAAAAAATTGGTCAGATCACTAAATACTGTAAGAGCTTGTTTTCATGGTTTGGTCTGCAGCGGGTCTATTCAGACATCCTAAGGTCTTGGTTATATTAAATATAGCTATGGTTGTATCAGTTCATTAATTTTGTGTGCCATCATTATCAGCAAAAATCTTGGAAAGCCACAGTGTGTTGTAGCCCTAGTGTATCTGCCTAACTGAACTTACAAATGTATGATTGACTCTATAATTTCATCCCAAAATACTGAGTGACAGCTTTTTATTGTTATGGAACCTGAACTAAAAATAACAATCCTATGTGTTACGGGCAAGAAAGTGAGTAAGATAGACACTTCAGGGCTTTTATAAATATTTTATGGTTGAAGTAGTGTGCTGATTTGCTTGTTTGAGCATTATTATTTGACATCCTTTTATGACAGCAGTTGGATATGTAGAGCTTCGCCTTGCCTCAATAGTCATTGCTTAATGGGAGGAATTGGCCTGACGTTCTTGGTGTACTAATCCAAAGACCTTTTCAGGGGTGTTTTTTTTCCCCAAGATGTGGAAAGAGAATTCAAGGAAGAGATCCTATTTTGACTCACGAGCTCAGCATTTTGTGGCTTTTATGGGAAGCCTGAGCAAGCTCGGATACTCCCGTTGTCATGCAGAAGTCAGATAGAACAAGATTATTTCAAGAGGAAAGAACAACTTCCACTGAAACCGTGGTGGTTGAGCAGACATAAATAGCTGCCTGCCTCAGAAGTATTGCAGAACTGTTGTCCTGGTGCTGTCTGGCTGAGAACGTTCCTGTGAATGGAAGTGGTATTTCTTGAATGCTGAAATAGCAGTGTTCAAAGCGGTGTGCAGGATTTTCCAAGAATATGTGGCTCAGCAGAAAGGAGGTTGCATGTTATGCAGATGAGGGAGTGACAGAGGACTTTGATGCAATACAGTAGCCTAATTGCGTTTTGGAGCCTTGCTGTGCTGTCTTTAATCACCTTTATGAGATGAATGATACCTGTTTGGGAGTCAGCCTGCCATTACAGATGAACAGGAATGGTAGAAGGTTGGATTTCTTTGTTTCCTGTGAGCCTGTTTAATAGCTTTTTTTTCATTAACAAGAATGAGATTATTTGATGTGTTGTTGAAGCGAAATAGTTAAGTAGGAATCATGTCGATGAATTTTGCAAGCCTTTGGTGCCTACGTGTTCTGAAGCATTCGTATAGGTTAAATAAAATTGGCTGGTTTTGGGGGGTGGAGGAGGTTTACATAGAAAATGAATGAGATAGCACCTACCTTTCTTTGAATGGAGTCATGACTAACATGTAATCTGCTTTCTTTGTAGGGGAAAAGCCTTACAGATGTTCATGGGAAGGGTGTGAGTGGCGTTTTGCAAGAAGTGATGAATTAACCAGACACTTCAGAAAGCACACTGGTGCCAAGCCTTTTAAATGTAATCACTGTGACAGGTATGTGACAGAAATGCACCTTTTAAAATAGTTATTTTTAATGCTTGTAGGAAAGTGAGTCTAGGCTGCTTTTCACTTGTGAAGGAATCATTTGGGAGCGCAACTGTGTCTGCTATATTTAAGGGATTATTGTATATTTAGACAGGAAAAAACCCTTCGACTTTATTAATCCTTGGGATGTGGTTTGTAGCCTGCTGTTGCAGATGAGTGTTGAGGAGTTCCTAGTGTTACCACCCATCTGCAGAGCTCCTGGGTGCCCACAGAGCACTTTGACTGCTCCCACGTAGCCAGAGAATGTCAAATCCCTGCTCCACCAGCCATGTTTTGGAGTAGCAGAGCAAAGGGGGGGTGCCTCAGCCACACGTATCGCGTCATGCATGCCAACCGTGGGCTAATGCACAACCTGACTCTTGCCTTGCAGGTGTTTTTCCAGGTCTGACCACCTGGCCCTTCACATGAAGAGACACCTCTGAATGGGTCAAGAGGTGAATCCCGCGGGCTAAGAGGCGTCAAGGTTGAAGAGCCTTGAGCGGAGGGATGCGTGTTCCAGCCAAAGCATGCCATTTTGCACCCTACCCAGTTGCCTCCAGGACCTCACTTCCTTGAAGGTCTTTTGAGGGCTAATAAGTCATGTAAGAAACGGCATAGCAACCGCGGTGCGTGATGTTTGGGGTTTCCTGGACACATACACTGGTATCTAACCTTCTGAGTGGCTCCTAAGCCTTTGCCGTGAGCATGTGCACTGAGAATGTTAATGATTGGGCGACTGTATGCGATGAGGATCTCTTGATGACTGTATGCTGAGGCACATTTTTTTTCTTGTGGTTGTTTTATAACTGTAAGAGAAAAAAAAAAAGTCTGAATGTCTTGTATGTGAGGAATATCTCGTGAGATGGGACGACCACCAATCATTTCCAAGGGGTGGGGGGAGGGATGTCTGCACCTTTTTAGAGGAAAAACAGAGAGGGGAAAGGGGGGAATAAAAAGAGTCAGGATGCCAGAATGGGGACCTCCCTGTTCCTGTGTGAGAGGAGCTTTAGGTGTCTGGTGCAGCTATTAAACGTGCAATGTGTCAAGTAGCTTGTTTTACTTGCTACAGAGCTCATTTGTAATCCATTGTATAAGCTGTGTATTTACAAATGTAACACAACTATAACTTTTCATTATAATACAAAGGTTATTGCATGGTTCTGGGGAACTATATGCTTTTCCATTCTTTAATCAGGACTGCAGTTTTGATTCCAGTTAAGAGCAGCTAAAATACAATTGGTCTAATGTTACATAATGTATGGAACATGAATAATTTTTTCTGTTGGGTGGATAAAACCACTACTGGTTAGAAACTGATTTTTCTCATGCAGCTAATTTTTCTCTTATTTATGCCTTGAGGACTAACTTCTGGTTTTCTAGCTGTTAATGCACTGTTGACCTTAATAATGGTGCCTTATGCAAGTGACCTTCTCTTGCAGAGGGTCTTATACAGGGGTATGGGTGATGCATGCTTTATTAAGGCTCTCTTTTCACCTGGCATTGTACTGTATCAAATGTTTAATATGAAGGGAGAAAAAGGTTACTTCCAGGGTCCTCCTTCACAAAGACAAATATAGAGAAAAGTCGTTCATGTCAGTACAGTATTTGTTTAACTTAGACAATTTGACTGTGTTACAGTATAATGCATATGCCAATTGAATACCTGACCAGTTCTGCCACCTTGAGACTTTTTTTATATTGACCTTGCACAACAACTGTGTATATACACACCCCAACTGTACTTAATATGTCAAGTTTTCATACATATTAAAGATACAGAAGTATTAAAAGATGTATTTGCTTAAAAGGCACAAGTTTCACATCTATATATCTAGCTATCTGTTGGTCATACAGAAAGAAACTATATTACTTTTTTTTTAAAAGTGGGCAGAAAAATAATTGTGTATGTATATTTGTGTGTACAGTCTGTGTATGTGTGTATATATATAGATAATATATAAATATTTTTTTTAAAAGGAAAAAAAATTAGAACACATAGCTAGAAAATGCCACAGCCCATCAAAATATTCCCTCTCCCCCCGCAATACGGTCATTAAGGAGACAAAGAAATGAAAGATATAGTTAATTAAAATCTAGCATTTTTAGAGGCTTTACCTTTAGCTTAATGGTATGCTAAAGGCTTTGTTGGCATTCAGTCCTTCTCAGACTGCTGACTGTGTTTTGTAGTTATTAGGTTGTCTGGAATAGCGTATCTGTGGCCATTTACGAATGATATGAACCGAATATTGGCATGCTAAAAGAATATTAGCTGTGTGCGGATGAAGTACACTCGGGTTTTGGCCTTCCAGCTTACTGGAGGACCTGTGAGTGAGCTAGTCGTTGTGGTGGTTGAGCTCTAATTTTACATAGTTCAGCTAAAATAAAGACTGTTTTTTCCTAGAGTAGAAATAGTCTGTCCGAAAGCAGCATTTTTTTTTTTTTTAAACCAGCTCACTACAGTTGATGCAATGAAACATGTGACCTGTTTCTTTTTCTATTTATTATTGGTCTTGCTTACTATGCTAATATTTTGGTATATCTTCCTGGAAATGTATGTAGATAAGTGGTTTTAAAAAAAAAGTATATGCAAATGATCTGGTTCTAAGGAACACACAGGCTTAAATCATTCTCATTTCATTTTTGGTTTAAATTGCCTGAAAATGCACTTTTTTTTTTTTCTTCCCCTAAACAAACAAAATTTCCTGGAAAATGGATTTCTGTTTAGAGTTGGGTTTTGTTCTGTTTTTAACTCCTTCTTTGCATTGTCCTTGGCTTAGCCATAATTCTTATAAACAAGAAAATAAACAAAAGCAAAAACAAACAAACAAAAAGAAACCCCAAACAAACAGAAAGAAACCCCAAACAAAAAAGAAATTAAACTTGCACTGGCTTGTCTCAATTGTGAAATACCATCAGACTTGTGTGGATGGGGTGGGGCTGTGTGCCATATGTTAAATGCCTGTAATTTTCTTAATAAGCAAGTACATTTTGTTCAGGTGATAACTGAGCCTCAATCAAGCTGAAAAATAAAAAAAAATAAAACATTTTTGCTTGAAATTTAAGAAGAAAAAGTTTCTATTAGTGAAATTTCTTTTTTTGTTTTTGAAGCACCCTGTTATCTAAAGAATCTCTTTGTAAGATTTTTGTAAAAATTTTGTTTTACAAGATTTTATTTGAAATTGTTTTTTGCAAGATTGTTATATTTCTGTATGAATGTATTTTTTATTGGAATAACATAAAAAGAAATTCTTATCAGCATCATGTGTCTGGTTTCATCTTTCTCCTCTCTGATGTTATACACACCAAATGAGGTCAAATACTACGTTGACACTTTGAGTCACCTAGTTGCAGGTACAAACACGGTTGGGTCAGGTCGCTTCATGGAAGGCGAGCCCTGATGAGAAAATGATTTTGACTGTAGAAACTAAAAGTTCTTCCTATATCTGAAAAGCTTTTGCTGACTTATCTTTCATCTCAGTGGAAAAAATAGTTAACACGATTGTTACTGCAAGACTGCGCCTTTATTCCAAATCGTTTGTTCTGGAGAGGTGAATGTACATAGGACAAGTTCTGTGTGTGGGAAAGGAAATTCAATGGGTGTTTGAAGTGAAGGAAAATACCAGGAAGGCAATGGCTGGGCTGGAGACACCTGTCCTTAACAAAAGTAGAAAGTGTAGAGTGTGGGCCTTGGAACTGCGCCGTCGATGGGGAAGCAAGCCCAAAAGCTTGAGGGCACAGCTGTGGGGAGGAACCATGTGAGATCTGCCTGGCCTGGATGCACAGGTCTGAGTCTGCTGTAGGGCTGACCTGACCCACATGCTGGTGGTGACCTCCAGCCAGCCAAACACAAGCGCCTGTGAACTGCATTTTTTCAGAGCAAGGGCTCTTCAAAACATGGCTGGCATGTACACTGGCTTGGGACACATGCAGAACTTGTTTAATGTCGCCTTGTGGCTTCGGCTTCACTCATGCTGGTGTTAAAAATCCCCCAGGCATCAATTAAACCATTAGCAGGAATAGCGATGGTTTATATGCTGAGAAGCTGACTTTTAACGTGTGAATTCAGTTCGCAGTAATTCAACGCTTCATGGTTTTAGATGAGAAAAGGTCTAAAAAGTGATGCAGAAAAGAACTGATTCAGTAAACACAGATTGAGGCAGAAGTAGGGTGGAGGGGAGACCCTTGCTACCTACCTCTGTTAGCCCTGCAGCAAGCTAGTAAGCAGATCATCTGCCTCTGTACAGGCATGGGGGAAATGGCAACTTAAGCAAATTCATGAGCTGCAACAGGAGGGATATGTTAAATTTTACCACTATAGTAATATTTCATACAGTGAAACACAGCTCTCTTCTGGGAAACTTAGTTACAGTAGCAATAGCAATAGAAAATGCTACTGAGATTTAGAGATTGTGACATTTTGCCTCCTCATCTGTATACAATGTAGAAATGGAAATATTTTTAAAGAACTGAGCTTGACCTTGGAGGTTCTCCACCCAAAATGTTCAATGGGTGTGTAATGCAGAACAAGGACTGGCAAATTTCCTGTTTATTGCCTGTGTGTCATTTAGGGCTGTGTCTTACTGTACCTTCTTAACGGAGAAAAGGAAAGGAAGAAAAAAATGCCTGGTAACTCCATTATCTAGAATGTTATTGAGATCTCACCCCGTTTTTCTCTTTTTTTTTTTTTCTTTTTTCCTGGAGAGATTGTGCTGAAAAAACAGTGGTGTTCAGGAGAAAAAGGCTAGTGACAGAGGTATTGGGCAACAAGGAAACTACTAAGCAGAAAGCAATAGCCATTTTTGGGGTTAGTGCGTTTCAACATGCACATCTACTGCAGGCTTGCTTAATTCTAGATTTTGAAATGAAGAGCAGATGGGAAGGGATGTGAGTTTGTGGATGAAGGTGTCAGGTGGCTTCGGTATGGACCAGGATTACTAGCCTCAGCAAGTTCCAACAACTTCACCTGGGGTTAACATGGTGAATATGAGGACAGAACCTGCGATCCAATGTTATCTTCTTGCTGCAAAGGTTAGCTATGGCACGTTTGTGCACATAGGCACACATACATGCATACAAAGGTGAAGATGAAGCAGTTAAAATCCCAAACCTGTTTGGGTGTTTGGGGTGGTTTTTTTCCCCTCAAGTGTGAAAAAACCTGGCATACAAGCGGTCAGTGCAAGTAGAGTGTATCACAGTTTACTCGCTTATTTGAACAACTGTATTATAAATATAGGCAGACTTTGAAGTTCACAATAGACAAGTGATTACTATTTTCTTAAATTGGATGTTCGTATTGTTTAGAAGTCACTGCCTCTCTCTCCTCTAATCCATGCTGTGATTTGTCACAAACAGTATCTAGAATGGTTGTGCCTGTTAGAGCCTGTTGAAGACAAGCTGTATTTAATTCTTGCCCCTTTAGAAGCCGTGCATAGAACCTCGGCCTTTGTGCCCATCTTTTACCTATTCCAGTCTTCTCAACTACTTCAGCGTTTACTCTTTGTTTTCTTTAATTACACTGAAAGCTCTGAGGAATAAAACCAACCTCTGTAAATAGCACAAAGAGCAGCAGCAAAATTACAAACAAGGAGAAGGAAAAACACTATGGTGATTGTTCCAAAAAGTAGCTGAGTGTTATTTGTGCAGCACTAAAGGAGTACGTGATCTTACATATTCACACAATGGGGAGAGACAACCTTCCGCAAGAGGAAAGCTCCATGGTACATCCATTGGAGGTCTCCTCAGCCATGTCTGAAGGGAGGCATTGAGGGAGGCTGGAACAGCAAGGGGAGCTCTAACTGCACAAGAGCTGGGGGTGGGGGGCACAAGTAAATAAGGTTTTGCCTCAGCCTTTTAAAGTGTAAAGGGACATGTATTTCCTCCTTGTTTGTTTTTCAAAAATTCTTTGGAGACAAAACAGCTTGGATAGGAAATCTCTGCGATACTTCTTTCTCAGACTTCTCCAGCTTTGCTTCCTCAGATAGCGCTGGTTTATAGACAACAATACCACTACTCCAGTTCTTTATTTCTGGCAACAAGAGGTTACTGAGCAGCACACATCCCCGCAGAAGTATGCCTGGTTTTGCTTCATCCCATGGGATTGTGTAGCCAAGAGGCATTAACAGGTACTTCTGAAATAAAGCCTCTGACATGGCAGGAAGCTCTGCTGAGATTATACAACCCAAGGAAGTAGTATCTTTATTTTTTTTCTTTTGCTCTTTTACCTCCACACTGGCTGTTTCATCCTTTATTCATGGTCCCTAGGTATATGGCATTTATTTTTGATCAAACCTGTAGCAATACTGTCTCATAACCATTTCAGCTCTTACATATAAGGGAGAATGAGTAGACAGAGTATTGCTTTTGCACATAGGTCTACAGAGGTTTAATCACTCTAGGATTCATTGGAGCTACCCTGGGAAATAAGGGTTTGCAGGTTCATGCATTAATATTGCGAGGCCTTGGTCAAAAGCTCATTTAAGTCAAGGAGAAATTCCTCACTGAATTCAGCTTGCTCCAGACATAGTCATTTTTTTCATAGAGCTGAACCTGAAAAAGAAGTACATTTGAAATCCATTCAGAACCAAACTTTCAATGACATTTATGACTATATTTTGTCCATTTCCTGTTGAACATTTGATAGCTGGAGTTTACAAGTGCAAGTATTGCAAAGCTAATTCTTTTTTAATAGAAAAGTGATTTTTTCCTGAAATTTATTTTTGATTGCAGACTGATGATAAACCTTGTAATTTGTTCTGCAGTTTCAGTTACACAACAGATACATAATAATTTTGTAAGTTATAGCAGTGACTATATTGAACTGTAATGTTTTCAGTCTGAATGCTTCACAAATTATTAGCCGAGAGATTATTAACTGAAGAAATTAACTGGATTTGTAGGATACCATAGCAACAAAGGTGGCCTATTGCTTTAAAAAAAAGTGCTGTGTCAGACACAAGCCAGCACATTTTGTTAAAATAAAGAGAAACTATGCGGAATTTGTAATTGAGGCTGCAGATTGGTCATGTTCTTGAAATATAGGTTTATAATTTGTCACAGGAAAAATAACTCCATAAAGCCAAACCACTAAGGTGTTTTAAGATGATCTATTACGCGGAGGTGTCTAGTGCAGCCATTTTGGATTGGTGTCATGATAGGAAACAGATGGTATATGTGTTTATGTTTAACATTTAAGGAGGTATAGAAAGCAATTGGGAGGTGATGTATTTTGTTAATGGGCAAGTAAAGCCTCATATGTACAGTTAAAATAGGATGTAAAAAACAAGCAACATTTTTTCAGCACAAATGAGGCAATGCAACAACACACTTAAGTAGATTTATTTGACTTGTTTCACTTTAAATAATTTTATTGAGAAATTCTCTAAATGTTTTTGAGCAGAGATAGAAAGTAATCTGGTAACCACATGTCGTGATGTAAGCCAAGCTGTTCTTTAGCAGCACTTTCTTTCAATACAATATAAATTTAGCTGGAATTAGCATTGCTGAATATTAGTCCCTCAGTGCCTAACTTGCTAAACCTCCATATTCTTTTTATTGCCCCTGTGCATTTCAGAAGCAGAGTGTGTGGTCAGTTCTGGACAAAGGCACATTATCTAACGGGGCGCTGGGGAAGGCAATGTATTTGCTGAATTCTGTAACATAACAAACACT